AGCTTGGTTCCTTTCTGACATGCTCTGTGTGATTAATCGATCTGGTTCAGATTCATTCTGTTTTTGACTTAGGGACTGGGTGGATCCAGCCAAGGTAGTCAGGAACTTTGCGAGAGGGCAAAGGAGTCTAGGCCCAAGCCAAGGAGATAGGTATCAGCCAGACCGGTTCCATCTAGGTTAGCAAAACGGTGTGAGCCCTGCAGGCTAGAGATGAGGGTTGTTCTCAAATGAGATAAGCGGCATCCTGGGGCCATGAACGTGGCTCTCTCTCCGGTGCTCTCCTGTGGCCTCCTGGGGACACGTCCCAAGTCAGAGGAAAGCTGATGGGAACAGGGTGGGCTGTTTTTGACCAGGTAGCAGAAATGAGTTATGTTGATTACCCTAACACTCATTTGTTACAAGATCGGTCTGACTCTGGTTTTCCACTGTTTTTTTTTGTGTTTTTTTTTTTTTCTTATGAATGACAACACTTTATTTTCTATTCCACTGAAGAATGGCATTGGCATGTGAATGGAAACTGCTTGGACCACACTGATTGCTTCTGTCAAGATAGCTGGTTTCATGACATTGACTGTCTTCAGTACACATTTCCCTGTTCTTTCGGGTCCATCTCAGTTTGCTTCATGACTGTTTTAATGTTTTTACTATAGAGGTCCTGTGTTTCCTCACTTATGTTAGTGTGAAGAAATATGAACCTTCTTACTTGATTATAACTAGAATTCTTTATCTGTAATGCGTATAGTATTTGAAGTATAATGTTATATTATGGAATCGTGTATTAATACTTATTTTTTCAAAGTTAATATATAAATATGTGTGTGATTTTTTTAAGTTACTATGTTTTATATATGCACATGTAATCATATATACACTAATCCACATTTTTTGATATTTAATATTCTATTTCTATTTTATGTGTAGGAGTGTATTGCATCCATGTGTGTAAGTGCATCCACGTCCACAGAGGTCAGAAACGGCCATTGGATCTCCTGTATGTTTTATATATATACTTCCCCATAGTTTTTAATATTTTATAGATTTTACTTTTATTTAATGTGTATGAGTGAATTGCGTCCATGTGTGTAAGTGCATCCACGCCCACAAAGGGTGCTGGGAATCGAACCAGGATCCTCGAGAAGAACAGCCAGCACCCAAGCCCTCTGAGCCAACTGTCCAGCTCATCTCTCTCGTTTTTTTTTCCACAGAAAAATGACTTGGAAAATTCATTGGCAGGTTGGGAATTTCACTCTGTAGTAACCTAAAACTTTGTAGAAAACTTCCATAGAAAGATGAAAATTAGAATCTTCTCATGATCATCTTCCCTGAACATTACATTCTGGAGGAAAATGCAAACTCTGGGATAGAAATGTACTCATTGTGTTTAGGAACTATGAGCATAGAGAACTTGGGTCTAAAGTATTTTCAAACTGTTTCTGGATGAGACAGTAGATTATGTAGGAATACTGTCAAATTAGGTAACAAAATAGAGTCAAAGATAGCTAAGAATAAATGCCAGCAGGTGGGAAGATTCACATCACAAAGTGATTAGTTTAATTTAGTATTTAGGAAACATAATAAGTTGTCTGTGTTGTTGTGAAGTAGTTATTTTACTAAAACATGGTTTAATAAAGCAATAATTGTGCATAAGAAGACCGTGATGCTTCACGCGGGGTAAAGGCTCTGTCGCTACGTCTGCCACGGAAATAAAAAATACAAAAATTTGGAAACAGAAGCAGAGACCCATGAGAGAGATCTGGAACAGCACAGGTAGAATCAGCAATCTGGAAAATGTGGCTCACGGAAACTTTGTTTCTTTCTCTGTCTGAAGCTTCGTTTCCCTTGGAAGAAATTCCTGACATGTTTTACTTTGAGCTAAGTTTCAGTTAAAGGTCAAACATCAGACAGAAAGGATGGCCAGGAGGCTACATGCATTCCTACATAAAAGTACCTTGTCTCAGTATCCTGTGTGGCTTAGCGGGCTCAAGTTCATTCATTTATAGTAGCTGCTTAGTGTCTGCTGAGCAGGAAAAAAAAAGTATATTTAAACTTCCTCATCGATAAGATTCATGGAAAAGAAAACGAACGTGTGTGCGTAGATAGGGGAGGTTTAACACAGGGGTCCCATCCAGGGACACGCACTTCAAGTGTAGCGGTTTCCGTGTAGATGTGTCACGTAGGACCGGGCATGTCACAGGGATATGTTTTCTATGTGTGAGCCGTTGTGGAACTCTGTGTTCTGGAACAGCCTCCATCTGTGTTGCCAAAGATCTTTGATGAGTGGTTTACGGTGCATTCTTTTTGTTTGTAAATATAGTTGGCATATGGTAGGAAATTTCATTTGTTTAGAGATATGAGAGAGACAGGGTTTATGTAGGATCTATGACCTCTCCACACACGTGTGTCTCCCTGTTTACAGTTCCACACGTGACTTCCCTCCCATTGAGTCTGCTTTAAGTCCAAACAGACAGCTGGTGATCACTCCCAGATAACAGTGCCACCTCTGCACCAATAACAGTTTGCTGGGCCAGTCGTTGTGGTTATTGGGCTTTGGAGCAGGGCCGGACGTTGACTGATGTTCTCCCTGAGCCGCTTGCACGGTGCTCTCCAGAACCATGAGACCTGGTCTTCAGGGAGGAGGCTTCCAAGTCAGTTTCAGCTCCAAGTCCTGTGTGGGTCGCATGTCCTGTCTTCAGCAATACGACCTAACATTCAAGTTCTGGGCAGTCATCAAGACTGCAGGAGCCAGGGTCGGTGCATGAACGTCAGGAAGCACAGACTGTCTGGTGACTGGACATGTGCTCATGTGAACTTGCAGCAATGCACAGAGCCCGCACAAGGCCCATGCACACTCAGTGAGACAGGAACCCAGCATGGGGCAGGGACATGGGCGGCAGGGACATGGGGGGCAGGGACATGGGGGGCAGGGACATGGGGGG